TATATATATATATATATATATATATATATATATATATATATATATATATATATATATATATATATATATATATATATATATATATATATATATATATATATATATATATATATATATATATATATATATATATATATATATATATATATATATATATATATATATATATATATATATATATATATATATATATATATATATATATATATATATATATATATATATATATATGTTTAATATAAAATAAATATGTTAACAATTTTTTTCTCTTACTTTTAATAATAATAATAACTTTATTTACAAATAACCGAAAATTAACCATGACGCAAAATTTTTAAGTAAGTAAAAGTTAATTGAAATAAAGACAGATCAGAGAGAAAAGAAACAAATATTATTATTTAAAATATGAAGCAAAAAAAAAAAATCTGTCACTGGCATACCACTAAACTGCATAGCAGTTTGTGCTTGGTTTTCAAGTAACAAAATTTTATGGAAATAAATGAAAGAAACTAAAACAAATTCGTGCCTCTCCAATACAGAAACGGTACCAAACAATTCATTCTAAATTTTATTTTTAATATTAATAAAAAGCAAAAATGCCATTACCATCACCACTTAAAACGCAGTTGATTGAAATTTTTAACATTTAAGTTTTTAAAAGCACAAATTTTATGTTAGTAATTTTTGCCAGCTATGATTTAAATTATGTCAAGTGGCGTATTTGCCAAATATATAAAAAAAAACATGTTATTTCATTTCAGTTCACGAAAACGAAAACGATATTTTTTGTGTGAACGAAAAGAACGAAAACGAAATTTTGTGTTTTTGTTCTGATCGGAAACGAACAAAATACTTTTAGTTTCGAGTCCCTGTTTGTTTGTGATGCTGACTATCTTATATGTGTGGAATACCTACTAATAATTTCATGGTTGAGTTAATTGCTATACCGAAATCAATATGCTATATTGAATAAATCAACTTTATTTTCCCATTCTAAAGAGAAGTGGCGTGAAATTAATTGATGATCAGAACTTTAGCTTAACTGACGAAGTTGAAGTGGTTAATATAATTATGACTATAGAGACTAAGTCAATCGAAAGCAACAACGACACTTTAGTGCAACTTTCTTTCCCCACAATAGTACAGTATATTGTACACAGAATTGATAAATGTATTTTGTCCTTGTATTTTCCTGCATTGTGGAAACAAGCACAAGTCATACCCCTGACTAAAATTGAAAAAACCTACAGAGTTGGACCATTTGCATACTATTAGTATTCTGCCTACGATCTCTAACATTTTATAGGAAATAATGGAAAACCAAATAAGGCCATTTCTCAATATTTACAGCATTTTGCCCCTGAAACAATTAGGTTTTTGATTTGGTTATAGTCGTGAAAGCTCTCTTGCAGATTTAATAGGCTATGATGAAAACAAAGTTACTTCCTTGGTTTTATTTGATTTTACCAAAACCTTTGACATGGCAAATCATGAAATTCTTCATCACATAGGTATTGTGAGGAAGTGTATTGTAAATTGGTATTATCCTTTTTAGATAACAGGACACAAAAAGTGATATTTAACGAATCAACCTGTATGCCTTTAGCTGCGAACAAGGGAGTACTAATATTTTAGCCCCACTTCCTTACATCCTTCCTTACATCCATGTATACATGCTGATGATACCCAGCTGCACTTTTCCTTTTCTTAGAATTGCCTTAACGAAGCAAATAACAGTATTAATTCTGATTTAAATAATAAATAAATCCGCATTGATGATATTTGGAAATGAAAATCAAAAGCAATGTAATCTTCCCCATAAAGCACTCCGTTTTACCTCTCTCGCAGGATACTAAAAGGCTTGTCTATATAATATAGAGAAGTATCGTAAATCGAAAAGTTCAAAACAGCTGTCTTGACTGATAATGGAATTGTACGTAGAACTCATGTTTCACCATAAATAGTTAGGTCGGCTGGTTGAATATCGATATAAACCTCGCGCTCTGTTATTCTATTGTACAAAATTAGAATTCGGACGGATGTCCACAATTTGAATCTCTATCCTTACTGTGCCGCAGCATCAAAAAGAGCATTTAAAAAGGTCCTTCTCATGCCAAATTGCAAATATGATTAATCAATATATCTCCTTAAAAGACTTTTCTCTGACGCTGCTGAACCTGAAAAATAAGTCTAATAAGTACTTTTTGGGTAA